GAATTTATAGTTTTAAAGCTTCTAAATGTATTGTTTATGATGGAAAACGATTAAAATGGCAAAATTCCTTAAAAACACTGCAAGATTTTTTCGAAATTAGCCTTGATCAACGAGGTAAATGGTCATCACCGGGAGGTAGTTCAAGAAAGTTTGTCGGTTCAAGCAATGATCTTGTTTGTACTTGGTACTGTGGTAGACAGAATACTTTGATGTTTCAAGGAGAAAGCGGTAATCAACTAAGATATTGTCTAATTCAAATGTGTGTATCTACAACTTTGGAGGAATTTAAAGCTAATACAAAGGTATGTTGTAGATGTTTACAACGTATTCCTTCCCAAGCCTCAGGTGGAATGACACCTCAACTGTCGAATGTTAACATTAAAGAGTGTATCGAAGATATTAAACTTGATATCGAAATTATTCAAAGCCGAGTCGATGCACTTCAAACTTTAGAAAATACCCAATATTTTCCCCACGAAGCAAAGGCTCAAATTCTCATAGATGATATAAGGGCATTGCAAACAGAGTTGCAAGTACAAAAGGATAAAAATATCAAACTTGAATTGGAAATTAAAGAGCTTAGAACGGATGTATTAATGTTAAAAAAGAGATTTGAAAACAAAAAGACTGAACGAGCTATTGAAACTAGAAACAAAAGACATGAATTTAAAATTTGCAATAATTTTGTCCCATCACAATCGCTTAACTCTCTTGATGATCAACTAGAAATATATCGTGCCAAACACAAAAATAATTACACCAAGGCGAAAAACTGTCCGGTTACCCTACAAAATTATACTACAATTAATAACAAACAAAATTTCAATGACACGTTTTCAATGCAAATGACTAAATATCGTGAAAAACAACATATCAAGTATACTACAAATCATGCTGGCATGGAACAACTCCAGATAAACAATTCTGCTGCTACTATCCATCTGGAACAGAAGTCATCAAACCCAGTTGATACAACTCATGAAGTCCTTTCTGATCAAAAACAAAATTTAACATCGCTTACAGCAATTAACACCGAGCAACTGCCGAGTCCTACTACTGTTTTCCAAAACTCAAAGCAAAACAACTCTAAGGATGGTAATTATCAAGTCAAGTTTAACGCCATTAAATATCCACCATCTCAAACACCTTCTAAAAGTACAAAGAAAAACAATTTTTATCATAAGAGTACCCCTTTTCGGTATTACCATCATCCCCCAACATACTCACATCACCAAGATCTTCGCAAACAAGCTTTTTTGAAGTACGATTATCAGACATCTTGCAAAAGGAAGAACAAAGCAAAAGAATGGTTAACATACCTACACTTTGTTCATCAAACACTGAACGAAAAATAACTACTATTGAACCGCATGTTGACGTTTGTTCTCAGTATAGGACTGGTTTCGGGGCTAAGCTGGGAAGGAAAATGGATCGAATGCATCGTGGCTTAATCGCATCAGATTACACAACCAATGATAACATCTTCTCCATTGACGTTCGTATAACCGAGAGAAACCAATCAAACATATTAAAATAAAGAAGGGATACAATTATGGCAAATGCAACTGTATAGAAATTATAACTAATAGTAATGATCCAGTAAAACCTTTCTCCCAACAATCATGCTCACAAATGCATGTCATATAACTAATAAAATTGATGAACTACATGGAGTCGTCATGAATAATGGTCCTGAAGTTGTACTGATTACAGAATCCTGGCTTTCTCCAAATATACCAGACACAGCAATATCGATTAATGATGAATACAAAATATTTCGCAAAGACAGACCCACCCTTGGCGGAGGAGTTCTTACTTATGTACATCAAAGTATACCTGTTAGTCGTAAGTTATTTGATGAAGACAATGATAAAGAGGTGCTATGGTTAGTGCTTAAACCAACAAGAACGCCTCGCCCATTTAGTGCAATTATTATCGTCATTATTTATTATCCACCTGGACAAAGTGCCGAAAAGAACATGATATGATTGAATATCTCATCAAAAATTTAGATCAGTTGCTATGTGAACGTCCATCCTCTGCAATTATAGTTGCTGGAGACTTCAATAAATTAAACTTGACTAATCTATGTAATTGTTTCAATTTAAAAAAAATCTATCCTATACCCAACCAGAGGAAAAAACGTTTTGGATCAAGTCTTGACAAATATGCGAGATATGTATAAACCAACACAGCATCTACCACCATTGGGACGTTCTGATCACAATTGCCTTCTATTAGTGCCAAAACAGAAAGAAAAAACACCAACAATTCCCAGAAGGGTAAGACTCTTAACACCTGGAAAAGTAAATGTCTTATGCAGAAAACTTATTCTTGAAGATTGGTCGGAGGTCTTTAATGTACAAGATGTAGATGAAAAAGTAAATGCTTTTACCTCGACGATGCTTAGTATTATGGATGAAACTATTCCTGAAAAAACAGTACGAATGCATGCTTCAGATAAACCTTGGATGACAAGCTTTATAAAATCAAAGATCAAAGCCAGACAACGTGCTTTCTCATGTAAAAAATCAAGCACGTTATGAAAAACTATGCTCTGATGTCTCAAAACTTATAAACAACGCCAAAATTTCATATTACAAACGAAAAGCAAAAGACTTTCGTACGACTAACCCCAAAAAATGGTATAAATCAATCTTCTTAATGTTGGGAATTAATAGCGGGAATAATGTAAAAAGAAATGTTTATGATGAAAATGTACTGGAACTAGCTGAAACAACAAGTCTTTACAAAACCTTGGTTAAACCAATTACCCGAAATAAGATAACTTGATCAACCAAACACTTAAGGATGTTAAACCTCCTTTACCATCTATTGGACAGGTCAAGAGTTGTCTACAGCACCTAAATCCCAGAAAAGCAACAGGTGATGATAAAATTCCGGCATGGATACTTAAACGTTTTTGCGAAGATCTTGCACCAGTCGTACACAATATAGTAACCACAAGTATAAAACAATGCAAGTACCCCAGCCAATATAAACATGCACTAATAACTCCAGTTGCTAAAGTTAATAATCCAAGCAATGTTGAAAATGACTTCAGACCTATATCTATCCTTCCTCAAATGGCTAAAGTAATAGACAAACTTCAACTCCATTTGAATAAATCAGATTTCAAAATAAAGAGTAACCAACATGCCTTTACTCATGGCCGATCTACTGTATCTGCTCTAATAGCTATGACACAAAATTGGTATAATGCAACAGATAATTCTCAATTAGGTAGAAAGGGAGTTCACGTATTATTTATAGATTTTCGAAAGGCGTTTGACATGGTGAATCACAATATATTACTACAAAAATTAGCATCTATGGAAATTAATAAGTCTTTCTGGCAATGGATTCGAAGTTTTTTGACAGGAAGAACGCAACAAGTCAACCTACAAGGAGCCATGTCATCCATCCAACCTTGCCCTTTGGGCGTGCCACAAGGCGCTGTCATATCACCAGTGCTCTTTAATGTATATATAAATGATTTAGAGGACAATATTCCTAAAGAAATAGATGCTAATACATGTAAATATGCGGATGATTGCACTCAGAACCAGATTGTCGAAAGAGGTGAATGCAGTTCCATGCAAAAAGTAATCGACGAATTACGGAAATGGGCTGATAATAACAGAATGGCTCTGAATCCGAAAAAAACAAAGGATATGTGGATATGCTTTACGGACTCAATACAAGAACCACCCTCCCTATTTATTGGAGAAGAGGAAATAGAAAGAGTTACTAATTTCAAACTTCTTGGCGTAACATGTCAAAATGATCTTAAATGGAATGAACATGTACACCAAATTACAAGCAAGGCAAATAAAAGACTATATCATCTTCGACTTTGTAGGAAGTCTCAATTACCTTCAGATGTTGGATTATTAACATATACATCAAAAATAAGACCAGTATTAGAGTATGCATCTGCAGTCTGGGCAGGACTTCCACATTTTTTTACAGCAAGAAATTGAACGTGTACAAAGAAGAAGTTTAAAAATTTTACAACTAGATAAAAACTACTTGCCCTCTTTAAAAAGCAGACGTGAACTAGCAACTATCCAAGAGATCAAAAGGATTATAGAGGAACCTGATCATCCATGCAAATTTTTAGTACCTTATCCCAAAGAAAATTCGCACAAGTTGCGTAAAAGCAAAACTTATAGTATTTTATCTCGGACCAAACGTCATAAACAATCTTTTATTGCTAGATCTTGTAAATATATATATAATAAAGTTAACATGTAATTTTTAGTATAGTATGAAAATATAGAAATTCAATGTAAATTCATCGTACTTTTTAATCTGAAGATGAATAATAAAAACCTTTAACCTAACCTAACCTTCCATGCAAAACCAACTATTCACCCTCTTGCTTCAAAATCATCGACACTGCCGACACCTCATTCACCCTTAAAATCAAAGAAGCACTCCACATTAACAAAACTAACCCTGACCTCAATGTTCAAGTTTTTAAATTCAATATAATATTTATTTTATAATACGTTCGGACGCTCCCCATTAATTTATTTTATTTCCTTTTATTGTTGTAATTTATGTATCATATTATTTTTACATAAACCCTGTATCACTTATGATTTCACTCATACTGAAGATGGCATTATGAGATGTCGAAACATATCTATTTTAAAAAAACTTGTCATGTATATTCAGACATTCTGGAATTGCGCGGTGCCGCGATTTCGCAGAATCGATCAAAATTCGCGGAATATCGCGGAATTTTAATTTTTACACGTTGTTTTCAAAATTATTCCCTGAACTTACGAATTATATGGTGTTCTAAATGAAGTCTGGAGCGAAACAACACTAGTGCGTTGCCTTTGCTAGTTGCTACGTCTGTAAAATTTTAAACAAAATGGAAGTACTTCCGTTGCGTTTCACTTCCGTTCACGATGTTTATTTAAATTAAATACGAGGAAAAAATGACGGCAGTTTTTACGAGCGAAGATCATTCAATGTAAGCTTTGCGGATGGATAAATTTGTTGTACAGAAATTGTCCCAAGTTCCTCATCCAAAGACAAAGTCACACCTTTCTGTGAATATAGATGCAAAACAACGAGCAAGTAAATATCCGTCAGGAACTTTTCACGTGGATGATGGTCTGTTGTTCTATTCAAAGTGCAATGTCGTAGTTGATCATGTAAGGAAATCCACCGTCGATGACCACCTAAAATCAAAGAGTCATGCCAAAGCAATCTCTTTTGGAAAGCAGCAGTCTGTCAAAACAGCACTGAAATTCTCTAACAATGCAAAGGCAGAGAAAATCAAGGTTTGTCAAGAATGGATATATGCATGCACTGCGGCGAATATTCCGCTATTAAAATCTGATAACGCATATCTAAGAGAGTTCTTGACCACAAGGGTAAAAAATGGTGGTGCTATTCCTGGATCCTCTCAACTGCGAGATGAGTATCTTCTTGATGAATATGTTGTAGAGAAAGAGGAATTGAAGCAAAAATTTAACGCTAAAAAAGTCGCTATATTGACTGATGAGCTGAGCGATGATGAGGGACGCTATGTAATGGATGTCTTGGCTGTTATTCTTGATTTTGATGAACTATCTCCTCATGGCAATACTTGCGCTTATTTACTAGATACACATTTTTTGACCAGCACCAACAATGTGACAGTGTCCCAGACAGTGCTCAAAGTCGTAAATGAGTTGATTGATTGATTGATTGATTAAACTTTATTAAAAAGAGGGTAACACGTGACACAACAAGTGTGAAAAATGAGTATGATATTTCGTTTGATAATGTGATCATTTCTAATTCTGATAACGTGGCATACATGAAGAAAGCATTTTCGTCCACACTTTCGGTTACTTTTCCAAATTGTGTGCACATTACTTGCCATAGTCACATTGTTAATCTCGTTGTTTCAGACTTCAAGAAAAATTTTTCTGAAATAACTGAGTTTGTTAAATGTTTCAGAAATTTGTTTTACATTCCAAGTGGTAGAAAAAGTAGGTTTCTAAACTTTTTGAAAAAAGTCTCTACTGAAGAGGAGTCTGTCTGTATGCCTCCTTACCCAACAACAAAAAGCTGGAGTGCTTGGTTAGACTCCTTGCTATATCACGCAGACCGTTTTTTGCACTATAGGAGCTTCATATCAGCAGAGCTTGAGGTCTCGGATCAACCATCCAATTCTTTGATAAGATTGGGAGAAATATACGAAGATGAGACATACTTATTGAAACTAAAAGCTCAGTTTGACTTCATTAAGATGAAAGCACCATCTTTGCTTATATATCTTGATTACTTTCAAATGAAGATTCCTCACATTACTCAGTCCTATGTAAAAATGAATCAGCTACTGGACTACTTGAGGCAAAATATTGCAGTGGATTCTAATGATCTTTCAAAATCGTTTAATGATTTGGAGATAGATCACCAGGATGATTTGAAGAAACAGTTTGTAAGTGTTTTCAAGCAAGCAGAAGCAAAACTCGAGAAGTATATTGTTAATGGAGGACAACCAGCATCAGAATTTTTGAAGGAAATCAAAGTACTTGAACCACACAACATAGTCTCTTCATCAAAGCTACACAGTTCATACACCAATATTCCTAGATTCAAAGAAAGTGTCTCCGATGAAGAATGGCATAAGTATGTTGATATATTCGGACCTGATGCTGTATCAGAAAGTCCACAAGGTAAGGTAGACCTGAAGCTGTTTTGGAAATCCCATGCAGAAGAACTTCCAGAACTTTATAAGCTTGCCTCCCACTATTGCACTGGAACATTGGGATGATACGATGTTTAAAGGACATTCAGCACATATAATTCCATTCTTGATCAGAAGAGAAGGAATTTAAATGAGCAAACTCTCAAAGCATTACATTTCCTTAACTGGAATTTGAGGGTGAAAAATTCCATTAAAGAGGAAAATGAAAGTCCTCAACAAAGACATGTCAAGAAAGTTTCTCGGCACCTTGCCACAAAATCGACAAGCCCCAATAGTTATCAAGACAAAGGTACCGCCCATAACATTGCTTCCAGTTCCGGCAATGAAAGTTTGCAGATGAAGTCAGTCAGTTCTCAAAAGAAAGATACACCCCATTCCATTGCTTCTAGTTCCAGCGGTGCAACAAAACGCATGTCTCTTAAAAACGCTCTAAAACAGAAGTCAGGTGATGAATTGAAATATTGTTATCTTTGTCAGAAAGAAGTCTCATATGGACACCAATGCAGTGAATGCAGAAGAGTTATTTGCACCTTTCCATCCTGTTGTTCCATTCAGGAAACATCAAGTAGTGTACTTCATAACTGTAAACTTTGCAATGCCGGAAGTGGTATTCAGAATAAGTCAAAACAAAAAATCAGCAACAAGAGAAAGTTGAAGAATCTCAATGTAGGTACCAGCAAAGAGAAAAGAAGTGAACATAAGAGCACTAGTATGGACAAAATAAAGGAAATTTCGTCTGGTGCAAGCAGAGATGAACAGGGCATTGGGCCAATTAAACTTTCCAATATTACAATCGCAATGTATGTTCGTGTAAGGTTTACATCATCAAGAGCTAGCGGTTCAAAGATATTCTGTGGGATTATACTGAATATAGACCAAGAACTAGAAGAAATCGAGGTTCGTTTTTAGAAGGAGGTAAAGGCTTCTGGCAACGCATTCTATTTTATTTGGCCGGAAAGCGACGACGAGTGCTGGATTAATATTGTTGATATTGTAGAAATTTTATAATGCCCTGTTACAGACAGTAGGGGACATTATCACTTTTAGAGCTTCATTTACAACTTTTGGTGCTCGTTACGGTTAAACATAGTTACGTATAAGTAATGTAAATTTTACCACATGGCACTGTTTAAAAATAGACCAGTTTTACACACTAGCAATTTGATAAAGAATAGTTTTGTTTGTTTTATTATATCCCGCAGAATTTGTTATTTTGGTCGCGGAATTTGGATTTATAGCCGCGGAACTGATTTCAAAAATTCCACGGAATTCTCGTTTTTTTCCGCGGAATTCCAGAATGCCTGTTTATTAAATGCGCATTAGCAATAGTGCTTTTACGAAATTATCCATGAATATCTTATTTCCTCTACTACCTCGACTACCATCTACTCTGCACATGATGTGTATCGATGTATAACATTACTATTATATAGTAGAAATTTATTTCTTTTTATTATTCTATAAAGATATAATAATATATCTTATATGTTTTATAAGATATATTTTGATTTGAGCTAGTTCCAAAATCTCACCAAAATCAACAAATTTATCTTTATAAAACATTTGCATACGTGTACATAACGCGGAAGTAGAATATTTTACAGAAAAACAAAATAACCGATAAATGGACATGAAGCATTAAATCACAAAATCAAAATACAATACAACAACGAAAGGTAAAGTTTAAAATCGACATACCTTTACAAAGTCAGAAAGATTTCAAGACACAACGAACTACATGATATCTGCGCGGTGTTCTAGTCGAGTTTGTGGAATTAATTTAAATGATTTACGTTCCCGGTCACGTGAGATATGTTACCCCTACCCTAGGAAAAAGGCTCCTACAATATACCGGAACAAAAACCCTTTCGTTCTACCAACAAGCAAATCACTCTGAAGATGACTACCGCTAAGGTTGTCGAAACGTCAGTCAACAACAACAAAAACAGTCCTTCTCAGGACTATACCAACCTGGACGATCTACATTTACAAACATGTTACAAACATCAAACAAATCACCCATTCGTCTTATGAGACGTGGCTAAAAGCCGGTAAAGTACGGGTACAAAACGTCGGCAGGTAGTCGTGGGAGATACATACGTTGTACTTTGGTCGTTTAACTTATGTTATTGTGTCATTGGTAATATCGATAATATTTTCTGATTTGTGATTTTCTTTCTGGTAATTTTAAAAGATGCCAAGGTACAGCAAATAACGGCCTTATAGCTGTTAGACTTTTCAACATTTATTTTCATTTTATAGATTTTTATGATAATTTTTGTAGGAGCAATAAAAGGTTTAAAGCAACTGTAGCTGTCACATATCATGATGAGGATGGCCATGTTGAGAGAGAGGAGGTGGATTTGTCAGAATTGGTTACTGAGGATCATAGAGGAAGCTGTTCTTTTAACGGTCCTGATAATTGTGGTGCATTGGAAGGCCATGAACTGGGAATGGAACAAGATAACAGTGATCTTGAAAGTGATGTTCACCATGATTGTGAAAAATCATCTTCTTATTACCAGAAAGTTGAAAGAAAACAAAAAGCATGGGAAAATTCGCTACATTCAATTATAAAGAATACATTTCAGTTTGCTGGCAAAAATTGAAGCAATCTAAAGTGTATTCATTGTGATAATGAAGCAAAATTTAGGTGCAGCAATTGTGGTCCAATGGCAAGTATTGTGAGAACTGTATGTTAAAGATGCACACAACCGTAAATATTTGTCATCATGTTGAAATATTCAAGGTAACCTTTATAAGCTAGATATTATAAAAGTGTTTACAGTTAACTCTCTCAACACTTGCAACAAAAAATGCAAAAATAAAATGAGAGTTTACATTGTGAAACATGCTACGAAGCACTAATCTAATATTTTTATGATTGCAAGAAAGGGGATTGATTACAACTAATTTCTACGAGGTTATTCATTGCTTTGTAGGATGGCATGTTTTGGCCATATAAACTCATGAACATGCTGGTGTATGATTGTTCATGCCAAACAGCTCATCACAAAAGAAGCGTTTCTGTTGTTGATGTTAAAGGTATGTTATATGTAAAATGTGCTGCAAAAGTTTCTTCATTTTAGCTGGGATGGTTCAACACAATTATAATTTTGGATCTTTTTCAATTTTTAGGCACTTTTTGTACTGTTGAGGTACACTTTTGCTCATGCTCTCCAGAGTTTGTTCAAGTTCTGCAATTTGGTCTTTGGGGTGGAACACCTACAAAACCAAGAATTGCATTTGCAATTGAGTTTTTTGAATTGATTCATTCTGTGCAGATGGAATGCCAGGCATCAATAAAAAGCATTTGTCAGTCATTTGAATAGTTTAATCTTAACCACATATTCTCTTCTTATGCAACACCAAAAATGTATCCTATCATTATAGATGCTTTTGAAGAATATAGGTAACTGCATGTAGGTCACTGATTTATTGCACTGCTGTACTACGTATGAATTGCTGGGAAAGTTGCAGTCAATTTTATAGACTAAAAATCTCATCTTAAGAGATGTATTTCATTGGAGGAAATCAAAATGCTAAAGTTTATGATGGGAAAGGATTTTTCCTCAAGTATTACTGTATTGCACTGTATTTTGTTTATGTCATTTGTTTAAGAGTACATAATTGCTTTCTTTGTGTCATTATTTTTTTCAGAATTTATAGACATTAACTAAACATGTTGAGCTGTGTTATTCCTGAGCTTGATGAAGGAAATATCTGTCCTACTTGTCCCAAAGTGAGTATATTCGTATTACTCGTTTAAAAATGACAATTTAGTAAAAAGAACATTAGCAATGCTATCTCAAACACCTTTTTGACTGCATCATTTGCATCATTGAACTCGAATACATTGCATGATTTTATCCTTCACCATTTTATTGAAGACTGATGGTGTGATCTTTGAGTCTCTTGATGCTCTATTTATTGGACGAAGGAAAAAGCTGGGCAGAGTCTTGGAAAACCTCTAATCAGACAGCTGATGTTTTATGATCAGGCACATGTTGATCAATTTGTTGCCAATTATACCACACCTACATCAAACAAGGTCAATGTAGCTTTAATATACTTTGTTATTCTAATGAAAATTCAGGCATGGAAGTTACAATCCTTTGAATATATTTGATTTTTTTACATTCTCTACCACATAGTTTTTATTTTCAATAAATTTGTGCCATGGGCTTTAGGAAATAAAGCTCTTGTATACTTTTTTGTTTGTTACATATTGATACTTATAGGAGTGTCATGGGTTTCTTGCTGGGAATGCTGTTCGATCAATGAATCGCTACAAAGCTCTTAATGAAACAGCAATCTTTGGGCGAGGCTGTCGACATGAGTTTGCTAAAAAATTCTTAAATTTGAAACATGGAGAGAGGTCTGTTTCACACATTTTTCTCTATTTTTACCTAAATGTTCTTGGTTTGAAAGAGGTGGTTAGGATGCATGCATTTGATGGTGTAAATCTATTTTTTTCAGTTGGTTTGCTACTTTCAATGCTTTGTGCAAGTGCTGAAGCTTTTTGCATACATGTGGTTGCATTATTTAAAAAAATATTCTACATATTTTATAGATTGAGCTATGCAGTTTATGTTCTCCAAGAATTAGAGAAAGATAATGTTGATAATCCTGCACTCAAAATAAACATATTGTATGATGTTGCATGTATGTTGGTGAAACACTTACAGGTAATATTCAATTGACAATAGTTGCTTTGTTACCTGTTTCCTTTGTCAATAGCTTTCCCTCAACACTTTTTTTCTTTGAAAAGGTAGTCTTTCACATGTTTTTCTTTATTTTATTTACAAAAACAACTTGGAGGATCCGATTTTTGACATTTTTCAATTTTCAATTCCAATTTTTCACTGCTATGGGCATGTTGGACGATGCGAAGTTAGTTGTTATTGTTTTTATTTTTCATACGTATTAACAGATGGTGATACCTATGCTATCATAACTAATGGTATTGTAGATAATAAAATGATAAAAATTCAATAATTGTTTACTAAATCTTTCTTGTAAAAGGTTAAATTTAGTCCCCGTCGTAAAGAAGGATTTGGCCTAACTGACGGTGAGATGTTGGAGAGATTGTGAGCTTACATTCGCAAATTTAGCAGAATGACTAAAGAAATGCGTCCAAGTCACAGAGTTGATGTACTCAGTGATGCTCTTTTGCATTATGGAAAGAAAACGAAGGTTAATATAGGTATAACTAATTTTTCTTTCTTTGTTTGAACATATACATAGCTAACATGTCATCATATTATGTAATAGCAGGTATGAATTAAATTTTGTTTTTTGAGGCAATTTGCTGATGGCAAGGATGAAGCGAGCTGTTGACGTGGAAGAAACTGCAAAATCAGATATTGAAAAGTTATGCAGGTGCTTTCCATGTGAGTATATGTTTGTATTTGCTGTGTGATTATATTTGACTCCGATTTTGGATATGAACTATTTACGACTCACATGAAAGCAGTAAATTTTCTTTTTTTCATTATCTAAAGCTCACAGCATTTCAATAGATGATATTCGTGAGTGGATGAAGGACAAATCGACTTTTTTTGGTCGTGAAGTTGAGACTGGTTAGTAATTGAGAAACAATGGCTTGTAGCTAAGGAACAGATTTGACACATAATTATTGATGCTCATTATGTGGAAATGTTTTACCTATAGAAAACTTTTTTTAACAAATATACGTAAATCTTGAACAACTTACAGAAGAAGAAGATTGGAAATGCAAGTACGTTATATACCTGGACTTGTATGCTCATCTTTACCATCGATGGAATGGTTGCACTGATCCAAGTGAACTGACTGTTCCATTTAATCAGATGAAAAAGTATGTTCGAAAAGTTCAACATGTTTCTGGAGATATTTAAGTCTTAAACAGTGTGAATTTAGAAAAATGAAGTGGGAAAATTTTGAAGCTATGAATGTACGTCGTAACATTGTGAATAATAAGTTGTAATATCAAATAAAAAATTATTTCTTGTTTTTATACGTACGTACAAGTAGAGATGTATATGTGACTTGCAGGTGCTTGTCTGACCTTGCCTTGTGTTTGTAATGATTTGGTATTTACTGTTTAGAATTGACGAGCAGTTAAAGATCGTGGAAAGAGAGAACTCAATTTCTGCAAGCTGGCAAAATACTGAGTCAGACTCATAAATGTTTCATACCACTTGCAATGTTTGTAAATTATTTTACATGTTGCCTTCTTTGTAATCTTCTCTGTATGTTTGTAAATGTTTCTGTATGTTTGTTCTGCTTTTCAGATGGTCAAGCGTTGGCATCCAGACTTTCGAAGCAAATTACTCGAGTAACAAAGGATGTCAATAAAGATATCGCAGCTTATAACGAGGCGAAACAATCACATTCTAATCATACACATACCGCATTAACATTAGATACTGTCAAAGATCTTGACAATGATTTTTGGTGTGAATATCTAGCTGCACCTACTGATGAAGATTGTTCAGTTCCATTTACTGTTAAACGGAAGGCTATAGATTTATGCCATTTGCTTGACCGATCCAAGGAAGAGCAAATCATGTTGAAGTCAGAAATGGAAAATACGTGGAGTCACTACTTTCAGCTGCACGGCAAGATTACTGACTTTTTGAATAGTTTTATTAACCATGAAAACGTACTCGATGTTGAATATGGTGAAGCAAAATTTTTACACAGGAAAATCTTTCTTATTGAAAGCATGTTGATTCTTATGTCATACATCTTTATTGCAAATATATTTTGCCTAGATGGAAACAATTCCTTTCTCTGATTTACTACGTACAACAGCTTTAGTTTCATCTTATGTCATACATCTTTATTGCAAATATATTTTGCCTAGATGGATTCTTTTCATGAATACTACCGCACAACAGTCAACTTAGAACTTTAAAATAAGCCCGTTACATATTACATAATTAACGGCCTTTTTCAAAATTTCATCTTCGGCATTCTTGTTTGATTCCTGTTTTAATTCCTGTTTTCTAGGTTACGTCATCAACAGGACTTCTAAGGTGTGAAATGATTGGTTTTTTCATCCGCCAATCATCTGCTCACAAACGTGAATTTCTTGCAGACGTTCGTATTTTGAAGTCTTTTGGTTCACCCATCATTTATTTATCATTTTCTTCATTGGTTTGATTGTTCACGGCATGCAGTAAGTTGGAAAAATAACATCGACTTGTTACTCTGTGCAACATCTTCTTTTGATCTAGTCCCCAGGCTCTTCTCTTGCAATAGCTCGTACACATTAATCTTTTTTTAGAGGTTTAATACGTCGACAGACAAATGTTAAGGATCACGATCCTGAATTTTGTCAATTATCACCAAAATGTAAAATTGATCCTCATTTTGAGTCCGCAGGACCACAGGTCAGCAAATCTGTTGTTTAAATCAACATGGAAACGTATCAAATAGAGATATTTTCTTATTTTAGTCGCGGAAGTGGATAGTAGCTCCGTTTGTCATTATATTTCATTGAAAGATTCATTCGTTTTCTTATATCTTTACAAACTGTCACTGTAACCAAGGTGACTGTTTTGCTGTCGTCATTAAACCATTCCACCAATACGACTATCCATTTCTTTATTGTTGTTGTTATTTAAAGATTGTGAAACATCCATCAAATGTTATTGAAATTCAAATGAAGAAATTTGGGTTTTCATATTTACCTGCTCAGGTTAGGTCATAAAATGTTCACATATTTCTTTATAACCGTCATTTCTTATGCATTTTTTCACTGCTTCAGTGTACACCAATAACGACTTTGTTGTGCAAAAATATTATGTTGACTGTCAATGGTTTCATTATTGAAGGACTGGGGCTTTCTTAATTATTGAAAAATAACTTTTTTCGCTGTGATCTTTGATCTGACGTGCTACATTTATTATTAATTATTCATTGTCGTAATGTACAAAATGTGACATTTTGACATGCTATTTTGACATCGTGTAGACAGTCATTCATTCATATGTTTTTATAAACGTTATTTTACAGTATGTGTTTCTTCAATGTCCAAAATATTCTCATTAGGAATGGCATCCATTTACTTTAACCTCCGTACGTGCTTATATTTGTCGCTAACATAAAGTATTCAAATGAAGAAATCTGGGTTTTCATATTTACCTGGTCAGGTTAGGTTATAAAATGTTCACATATTTCGAGCTCCCGTGGGGATTCCCCTTTGGATAAATACACTTAAATGTATATTTTATAAACGTTATTTTACAGTATGTGTTTCTTCAATGTCCAAAATATTCTCATTAGGAATGGCATCCATTTACTCTAACCTTCGTACGTGCTTATATTTGTCGCTAACATAAAGTATTTGGTCCATCGACGTATATGTACAACTATAAACTTTATTTAGAGCACAGAGCAAGGGACGTTTAGCGTTCATATTCGCACTGCTGACGACTGGACAAGTTTGTAGTTTGACTCTGAAACTTTTTTCATCATTATTAACTGATTTTATGAGAATTTCTTTTTGTGTAGTTGCTCTATCAGATACCTGCACTGGAATGGGAATGGAAACAAATAATCTTAATGATGTACCAAGGTTTACTACATTATTACTACAAGTATTGATGTTATCTTTACAATAGTTCAGAAATATTTTATGATTAGGATAGAGATGACACAACAAAAAACAATAAAATCACACTTCAAGTCAACTATTATTTTGATCGACGAAAATTGAAGTCAATGACAAAAGATAAAACGAATGAATGTTTAAAATAATTATTAAAGCGTATTATATTTGAGATATTGAAACAAATTTAATGCTAAGGGTTTCAACATTTTCAACATTTACACACATCAGCAAGTAAAAGTTGGACTACCGTTTTTTGAAGCACCCTGTATCAAGAACTTAGATCCCCAGACCGTGGGGATTCCCCTTTGGATAAATCAACTTAAATGTATATTTTATTAAATACGTGTATAATTTGCCGAAAATAAAAAAATAAGAATCAAAGGAAGATCTCAGAATTCAGCCCTTTAATAACACCATGACAACTCGTAGCGCATAGCAAGTCTACCAGTGCTATGAAAATAAATATTTTGTTGTTCAAGTACTTTTTCGTTACTCACTACACTACATATGAGATGACAACAGTAAATATGGGCCAGACACCCATAATTAGAGTAAAAGCTCCATTTTTTTGTCCACATCACTACCTAAAACATACATAAAGATGAATTACATTGTCAGAAGGTCACACATGCCAGATCTATCAAAACGCTTGTCGACAAAGGATTTTTATTGTGTTTAGTCTTTACAGAAAGGAATGGATTTGCGGCTCCATTTCAAGGAACAAGATGCTTTGTTAGCCCTGACTTTTGGGTATGTTTTCTTTCTCCTTTAGCTGACCAGCACCAGTTGTATTTTCAATTTCTGTAGGCAAAGGTTTAAATGGAGTGTTTGTTTGGTTCTTTTTGTTGTTTAATAAGAATAATCTTGACATGTACATTATTTACATGTAAATTTATAATGCTTAGTAAGTTTTCTGAAAAGCCTAAACACTGGCTTAGGTGTGTAAATAGACAAATTTCTTTTCACTGTGATAAATGGTAAAAAATAATTTGTATTTAAAAGAATTGTGTGTGGAGAGAAGGTCAATAGTTTGGTTACTTGATTCAACATTTCTTTCTATTTACAGTTGGGGATTTAAACCTTAATTGTTGTGGCAATGTTCTTTTTTCACTTACATTTAAATGTAGTGAATCGCATTTTTAACTTATATTTGATTTTCTTGGGATCAGAGATAACCACAACATTTTGTATTGTGATTTTGTGGTAAAATCATTTATGTAGCTGGCAGAATCAGTTTCAAAGCATTGTAAAGTATAAACTAAAGCAAATGTAAGACATGAATGTCATAGGAATGAAAATGACTCATTACTGTCCATATCAGTAGTAAAGACACCAGTAGAAATGACTCATTTACTGTTCTTATCAGTTGTAAAGACATTAGCAAAAAATGGCTGGTCATGTCATTCACTCCTGAATATGGATACATACTTTAAAGGAGGGTTTTGCCCTAGAAATATACTCCTAATTTAAACTTTTTGTAGTTTGTACACAATTTCTCTAATTTTCTAATAATATTTTGAAAAAAAAAATAAGAAGTTCCTTGCAAAATGAAATACTAACTGTTACACACAATGCCAGAGCTCTTCAAGATGCCCTGGGAATAAATAGCATAGCAGACTCTTTATTTTGGGTAGGAGGCACATATTCATATATTCATGTTCTGCCACATTAAGTTCATTTGAAATCCATTGTTTTCAACGGATTAAGACATGCATATATGAATTTGTCTCCTCCCCCACAAATAACAAGTATCCTGCGCCAACGCTGGGATTTTGTATTTATAGTAAATCCAGTAGTCTAAAACCTGGCAGTCGGACAGTTAAATGTGTCATTTTCACTTCTGTCAATGCTATGGCAATGATATCCTACTTTTTCTTCTTCAGGTTATTTATAACTTTTACTTTACATTGCCTTTATAGTTTGAACTATAATAAAGTATTATTGAATCAATCATTAAATATATATTTCCTCTAAAGTAAAAAAAAAACAAACATTGTCACGACAATTAAGATCTTAGTCCCCAAATCAAGTATGATTGAATCAAATAACAATAACTGTATGTCCATTTCAAACAACTACAATTCTCATAAATAGAAACTACATCTTGTAAATTATATGAATGAATAGAAATAAATATAGAAAAGACTGTATTCATACTTATATAGCAAAGCAAATCTTGTGGGCTTTTCAGAATTTCAAAAAGGGATGTTACATGATCATGGTTGCTGTAAGATCAATATTTACTCTCATTAGACAAGAAAATCACCCAACAACATTCATTTTAAGGAACTTCACAACTTCTGAATAGCTAGATATTGCAAACTAAACTCATATATATACTTTGATAGTTCCATATAAGTTTCTTAACAAAAACTGTTCCAGTAAATAAATGACAGTTGAAAACTTGAAAATACAAATGTTTGAATAATGTCAAAAATATATTTATAGCTTTTATAAATATACAACTGTTGTTATTTGAACCTTTGTTAAAAGAAATCTACAATACAACTGTTTCTAATCAGCTTTAGTATAAAGAAGACATACCTAAAATGTAAAAGAGAAATTGATTTTCTTCTTCATTGAAAATGAGCTACAAATTCATTTCCTCTTCTTATATCCCCTTGTACGTTTTCTCAAAGACAGGAGTATTTTAGCTTCTAGCAAGTAAAAGATAAATGGAAGTTCAAATGCTTCAGTTTCAATATCTATAGTTTGTTTATAACCAAATGAAGATTGTTGTATATTATTGCAAAACATGTTCAGGTCCAAATGCTTCAGTTTCAATATCTATGGTTTGTTTATATCCAAATGAGGTTTGTTGTATATTATTGCAGTACATGTTCAGGTCCAAATGCTTTTGTTTTAATTTCTTTCGCTCGTTCATAAAAATCTTTTGCTTTTTCGTACTCTCCCATATTTTTGTAAACCAAACCCAGATTGTTGTACGTTTTCGCAATATTAACATGGTCAGGTCCAAATGTTTTAGTTTGAATATCTATCGCTCTTTCATAAAAATCTTTTGCTTTTTCGTACTCTCCCAATTTACGGTAAACCAAACCCAGATTGTTGTACGTTGGCGCAATATTAACATGGTCAGGTCCAAATGCTTTCGTTTCAATTTTTATCGCTCGTTCACAAAAATCTTTTGCTTTTTCGTACTCTCCCATTTTATTGTAAACCGAACCCAGATTGTTGTACGTTGTCGCAATATTAGCATGGTCAGGTCCAAATGTTTTCGTATCAATTTCCATCGCTCGTTCATGAAAATCTTTTGCTTTTTCGTACTCTCCCATATCATCGTAAACCAAACCCAGATTGTTGTACGTTGTCGCAACATTAACATGGTCACGTCCAAATATTTTCGTTTCAATTTCCATCGCTCGTTCATAAAAATCTTTTGCTTTTTCGTATTTTTTCATATCATAGTAAACCAAACCCAGATTGCTGTACGTTGCCGCATTATTAACATGGTCAGGTCCAAATGTTTTAGTTTTAATTTCTATCGCTCGTTCATAAAAATCTTTTGCTTTTTCGTACTCTCCCATTTTACTGTAAACCAAACCCAGATTGTTGTACGTTGTCGCAATATTAACATGGTCAGGTCCAAATGATTTTGTTTCAATTTCTATCGCTAGTTCATAAAAACGTTTAGCATTTTCATATTCTCCATTCTTCCAAAGCAATGAACCCAGCTCGTTGTACGAATATGAAACATCAATATGATCAACACCTAACACTTTAGTTTGAATTTCTGTTATTTCATAAAGTACTTTAGTTGCAAGTTTATAGTTGAAAAATCTTTCTAAAACATCTACAAAATATTTGGCAAATTCCCAATTTCTTTCATCAAGTTTTTGTTTTGATGACTTTACATCGATCAACTTATTTAGGAAATGTTGAAATGATGAATTTGTTATGAATTTAATTAGATGTGGAATTATATTGATTTCATCTTCTCTGTCTTCAAAATGATTTAGTGCCCAAGCAACTTGACAGGCAAGATCAGCTGGAGACTTTTTAGAATTATTTTCGTTTTGTTTACAGCCAAAGGTCTGCGATGAATAATTTTTGATGGCTTCGTGTACAACGCTGTGCAGGCGGATGTCGTTGTTTTCCGTTTGAAGGAATAAAGAACAATGCTTTAATTGAAGACAGACATCTTCTGCAGATATTTGTGGATCAATGCTTTTAATAAATTGTATTATAACATCTTGTGGTAAGGGATCGAAAGATATTATTGAGAAAAGTTTAAAAACATGTTCCAACAAGAAGGATTCTTCGGCATTTTTTTGTACTGCTAACATAACAGTTTTCATTCCTAAGTGAGATGTGTTTATTTTTTGAAAATAGCCCTCCATGTTCTGTCGCTCTCCTTCATTCAACTTATCAAAATATTTCTCCCACGTGAATGTCGGATTTACACTGTTTACTCTACCTACGTAGGAAGCAGCATTTGCCAGGAACAACGGTTGACGATCTAATTTGTCTGATACATCCTTTAAAAATTTTTCTTCTTTGTTATGAATATCATAAAAGACAGATAGAAGTTCTCGACATTCTTCATCATTCATACCATGACTAAGTGAAATGTTTTTATTTAGATTTCCATCTGGTGGTATAGCATCTGTATTTTGCACAGTTACTACAATTTGTCCATTTTTCCAACTATGATCACCAACTTGAGGTAATAATGGATAAATTTTATGAAGTTCAACCACGTTATCTACAATAATCCACCATGTTTGCCATGATTTCAGTTGCTGTGTAAGCAAAAATTGAAAATCTTTAATTTTGTCTTCGCTGCTTTTTGCTTCTTTCTGAATATTTTCAATCAAAATTTTATCATTGTTTAATCGTTTACAAAGGTCTACATAAGTTTTCAAAAGAGAGTCGATATCTTTTCCGTCGAGTGTCATCACAAATGTCGTATTCTTTTCCCAGTCAAACGAGTTATATATTTCTTCGCAAATTTGTCTAGCTAATTGAGATTTACCACTGCCAGGATTACCAGAAATATAGTAATATGTCAGTTCATTATTGTTAGTACTGCGCAAGTTATTGAGATCTGCTGTGATTTGA